CCTTTATCCGAGAGGCAGGAGGGAGTCTAACTTCTCCATGTGCTGGCAGGTTTGACTGTGGGTACTTCCAGCTGAGCTGATAGGAATTTATATTTCAGCTCTTCTCTAAAATGCTCCCTGAGAAAACTTGATTCTACTTTTCTCCCAAAAAGTGCAGCAAGTGTTACTTGTTACCGGGGAGTGTGATGTTGTAATGGCAGCAGGTATAGGTCAAGCTGAGTGTATTTAAAAACATATTCACACTTCACGTTCCGTAAAACAAGCCGTTGTTGTCTTCAGCCCTTCCCTTCTTTCCTCCGATGAACACATTTTGTAAATTATGTCCTTTTTCAAAGACTCAGGGTCTCCATCTGAAAGGATACACGTTCACTTTTTACGAAGGGAATGACGGTATTACTAATGACGTTTTTGTAAGTGTACAGGATTCTTGCTGAGTTTCTGTTTTGCTGCCCAGGTGCGTGTTCACCAGCACAGGTGTTCCACGTGCCAGTGTGTGAGGTGGGGAGCTGGGCTGGGGTATCCCGAGGGCAAATCTGCTTTCTGGGCCTTAAGCAGATGGAGCCCGTGGTCTGCCCAGGGGCTTTGGTGGAGCCTGTGGGCAGCAGTCCCCTAGGAGGGCCTGGGCGGTCAGTGCCTCCCCAGGACAGGCTGTTGCAAGGGCTGTGGGGTGTTCTCTCTCTCCTTTCCTCAGCTGCCTGGCTCTGGACTCCTTGGCCATGGTGTCTGCCTCCTTAAAGTGCCCTGGAAGGCTTTCTGGCTGCTGAGCAGGGTCCTCTGCAGCCTGGGCTCCCTCCCGAAGCCACGATGGCCCAGACCGACCCCCATGCCTTAGCCTTCGTGCCTCGCCCTCTGGAGGTGGGGCCTGTCATCTGTGTTGCAGCCTTCAGAAGGCTGGTCTTCTCCGCCCCCAGCCTGAAGCCAGAATGCCCAGGCCACAGCTGTCAGTCTTAGCAGGGCTTTCAGAATGCGGACCTTTTCCCTTTCAGAATGCGGACCTTTTCCCTTTCCTAATGCGGATCTTCTTTTCCCTTTCCGAATGCGGACCTTCTTTTCCCTTTCAGAATGCGGACCTTTTCCCTTTCCTAATGCGGATCTTCTTTTCCCTTTCCGAATGCGGACCTTTTCCCTTTCCGAATGCGGACCTTTTCCCTTTCAGAATGCGGACCTACTTTTCCCTTTCCTAATGCGGATCTTCTTTTCCCTTTCCGAATGTGGACCTTTTCCCTTTCCGAATGCGGACCTTTTCCCTTTCCTAATGCGGATCTTCTTTTCCCTTTCCGAATGCGGACCTTTTCCCTTTCCGAATGCGGACCTTCTTTTCCCTTTCCAAATGCGGACCTTCTTTTCCCTTTCAGAATTTGGACCTTCTTTTCCCTTTCAGAATGCGGACCTTTTCCCTTTTAAAATGTAGACCTTTTCTTTATTGGCTCTCAGGCATCATTCTTACTGTTTGGATTTCTGAGAACCCATCTTCCCTACCTGTGTTTTGAACATATAAACAAGGGAAATCGTGGCAGATGGAGGCCGAAGAATAACTTTTATTTCTGCTAAATGAGAGCCTGAAGTCCTGTCTTAGTGGCAGAGCCACACAAAATGGCTGACTGATGCCAGGACCCATCAGGCTCACCCATCCCATCAGAGCCCCTGCGGTGGGCCGGGCCCTGCCCCACTGCTGTGGAGCCTCCGAGAACCTTAGCCTCTCCCTGCTTTAGCCTCTGTGAAGCGAGCATTTCTGGGGATAGAGCAAGTACAGGAGAGGCACCAACCGTGTTCCCTCCGCATGGAAGCGGGGCCCAGGTCTGTGATTCACGTAACCGTCAGGGCCCTGGCCAGCCAGGGGCGTGGCCTCCCTTGGCGTGGAAGAGTTAGCAGTCCCTCCGGGCAGACCAGTGGGGTCGTTGGACTGTGCTCCCCACGGCTCTGGAATTAGCTGGAATGGGACATTCATTAAATAATCTTCAGGCCTCTCTGTATTGGAGGCTGCTGTGCTACTCTCTGGTTTATTTCTCACCCTTAATTCCGTGCAGCTATTTTCTTTAGCCGGGCTGGTCGGAATTCCTCCACGAGGTCAGATGACATGACATAAACATGCCACACGCAGTGTGCCCTACATTTTAACATAAATCTGCTTCTGTTAGCCAGTCCCCCAAGAGAAATTGAGCCTTAAAGGCTAACCATTGCAAGTTCAGGTCCAAAGATGATGCAGTCACAGGAATTAATGTCCAGAGCCAGAATTTCTCACTCCTGTTAAAGTTCAAACATATGAAAGCTCACCGTTTGTCCTTAACTGCTACTGCTGCTCCGTCCCAGCTGGGCAGGTGCTTGGGTCTCACTGGCACCAGCGCAGCTCCTTTGGGGCTTAAAAGTCCTGCCCGTTAAACACTGTATTTTGGACAGCCAAATTCAGGAGGCCTCCAAGCTTATCCCTGAATCGGCCCACTATTTCTAGAAAACACATCAGCCCCAGGCCCCTGGAGCAGTGACTCCAGAGATCCTTTCCCCAGAACCCGTCCTTCCCGCTGTCCAGGGTCATGGGAGGGCCTCGGCGTCCTTCTAAGTGAAGTTGGCAATCTGAGCTTTTCGCGGTTCTGCCCTCACAGAGGTGTGACAGTTTGGAGTCCAGAGCCTGTCACTTGAAATCCACCTGGGAGAAATCCCCCAGCAAGTGGGCAGGTCTGACTCGGCTCATTTTCCATTTCTGAGGAAAGGAAAATCCTCAGTGCCTTGTAGGCATTTTTTGTGTTCTGTGCCATGGCTCTTGTTAGGAGATGTCAGGTGTGCTCTGCCTGCATGTATGTGTGCCTGTGTGTGTGTGTGAGAGAGAGACAGAGGAAGAGGGAGGGAGAGGGAGAGAAACAGAGAGTGCTGGCTGCATGCGTTCACATTTGACTTTCCAGACTTGGAAGTGCTGCTGGCTGGAAGGCAGTGGCTCAGCTGCACGTTTGTCTTACCTGGTCCCCCTCCTGGGTTCCGGAGCTGGGGGTTCTGTGAGTGCTGTTTCCACATTTGTCTTACCTGGTGAGCTGCGGCTGCCTGTGCCCAGCACCTCCTGTCGGCTCAAGATTGTGTTACCTGTGCCTTTACTGAGGCCAGTGGCCTGCCTGGCTTCCCCTTAGCTGAGGCTCTGGGGGCCATTCCCAGTGTCACTCCCTGAGGGCACAGCTGACCCCGGCAGTTGTCGCCCAGTGCTGGCCAGGCCAGAGGCCCTTTGTGCTCACTAAAGAGTTCAAAGCCTGGGAACCCCAGGCGCAGGAACCCCAGGTGCAGGAACCCCAGGTGCAGGAACCCCAGGTGCGGGAACCCCAGGTGCAGGAACCCCAGGTGCAGGGACCCCAGGTGCAGGAACCCCAGGCGCGGGAACCCCAGGCACAGCACCATCATTTGGCTGCCTTCCAATTCTCCTTGCTTCTTACGTCTCAGTGAGTCTTAGGGGCTCCAGTAAGAGCATCCTCTAAGCGTCCTGAATTGGTTTTTATTGTGGCCACAACAAATCACCTTAGACTTAGTCCTCAAGGTGACACTGATTTCTCTTCTCACGTCTGGAGGTCAGAAGTCTGATGTGGGTCTGGCAGGCTGAAACCAAGCTGTCAGCAGCTCTGCGTTCCTGCTAGAGGTCCTGGGGGAGGATCTGCTCCTTGTCCTTTCCAGTTCCTTGGCTTGTAGGCTTCCTCCATCGTCAGAGTGAGCCATGGCATTTGAGTCTTTCTCACAGGGCGTCACTCTGCCGACTCTCCTGCCTGCCTCGCCCACTTCTAAGGACTCTAGGATTGCGTTGCACTCACTGGCTAATCCAGGGTCATTTCCTGTTGCCATCCATGGATTAGCAACCGTAGGTCCACGTGTAACCCTGGTTCCCCTTGCCACGCGAGGCAGCACATCCACAGGTTCCGGGGATTGGGACCTGTGCATCTTTGACGCCGGTTCTTATTCTGCTTCTGCCTTCACTGCTGTTGGGCACAGATTACGTCTGTTAACCACGAGTCTGGTTGAAACCCTCCTTCTGGAAATGCTTCCTGAGCCCTGGCTGAGGCCCAGAGGGCAGCCTCTGTGGGGAATGGCCTTCTCTCCCTGATGGGAGCTGCCTCTTGGTGTTCCTGCTGTGGGATGGGTGGTGTGACCAGTTCTCTGGCCGCGCCCGCGCAGTGTCCTGTGTGTGCTCCTCTCTTGGGTGGTGACAGCAGGAATAATAGACCTGTCACTGCCCCAGTCCCTGCTGTGTCTCGAAATCTCTTCAACATTTCACTTACCTATTTCCTTGAAACTTGAGACAGTCCTAGAAGGCCGTGTTATTGCTCTCATTTATTGATAATGAAACTGAAGCCAAGAGAGGTGATGTTACTTGCCATGGTCACACATCTGCTGAGCCCTAGAGCTGGTGCCCCACTCCTGGGCTGTGTGATCTGAAACTGCCCAGGCCCCTTCCCTTTGATGCTCTGCAGGCCTTCCTGTCTTAGTGTCTGAACTTCACCTGAGTTCACCCAGTGGTCTCTCTGAGGGTAAAATCCCACATTCATGTTATTCACCCATGCAGCGACTGTCATTAGCACTTGGATTGTGGCCACGATGATGGTGCCATCAGCACCAGGCACATTTGCCATTTCCCACTGGCTCCTGGTAGGGCTGAGTGCCCGGGGTCCAGGTGGCCAGCAAGGTGGTCGGTTACCGCCGACGGTTCTAGTCAGCGAGCTCTGTGCATGGATGTCTGTTTTCCAATTTAAATATGTGTCTTACATTTACAAATAGAAACGTACCATTTGGTGTTTCCTGAGATGTGCGTGCTCATCACCTGACATCAGGAGTCGCTGGGCTTTCCCTTCTCAAAATAGCACTCAACAGTGCCGCGGGCGGGCTGCGTGTGCATCCACTGCTCCGTTTCCCAAGATAAAATCTCTGTGAATTCGTCCTATTATAAAGCTGTTCACTTGATCCCGGCTGCCTTTTCCCTTTTGGAAAGTGTGTTTTATTTTATGTGCATGTGATACGCATTATTTTTTTCCTAGGACAACTACACCTTTGCCCAACCCGGGATTCAAATGAAAGTGAAAATGTTAGAAGAACTCGTGAGCCGGATTGATGGTAAGCCAGCTTCCCACACAGCCCCTCTCTGTGGGCGGGGGGAGGTGGCTCCCAGCCGTTGGTGGGGCAGGGTGCCGTCCCCATCGGTCTGGCCCGCTCGGGATCCTTCATGGGCATCCTTCTGAGGCAGCTGCTGAAGTGTGAGCTGCTCTCATTTCTTCTTATGAAGGCGGTGTCATCAGAACTCAGTCTGTTCACTTTGCACCCGAAGCAGGCAGCGCTCTGTCCCGAGTAAGCCTGGTGACTGTCGTAATCCGGGTGACAGGTGCTTGTTTATGGTGGTCCTTCGGCACTCTGTTCCCTGCCTCTATGCCTCATTTTTCCATCAAGCATGCTAGAATAATTTCTCCATGGAATCCAACTAATTACCAAGTCTGCAAATAACATCTTTAATATTATAGAAAAATTACTGAGTAGGTGCTTGGGTAATTTTAGATTATGTCTCCATGTTTAAGTGGGGGCTTTGAAATACTTTTCACCTTCATCTTTAAAATAATTCCCCCTGCGATGTGCTGGCTGTCACCTTACAATAGCAGAGTTTAATTAAAGGGAGGTTGGGAGATAATGCCTGCCCGTTCCAGGCATACCCTCCTGATGGTTAGTGAAATTAATGAACAGAGCATTAACAGAGTGATGCCAGGCAGAACCAGGCAGAGATCTGTGATACCAGCTGGTCGGCGATGAGGTAGGAAAAAGAGACAAGGTCTTTCATAAAGGGTCCCGTATGAGCTTGGTAGATTCTTTCACGAAATGTGGAGAGAAATTGCACTTTGTGGAAACGTAGCCCTGGCCACGTGCCTCGCAGTGCTCTGCCCGCTCGGCACTGCGGGTCACCACGCCTTTTCCCCTCGCCGTGCCCTCAGCATGGAAGGCCGTAACAGCGATCTTCTCGGGGAAGGCACTCGGCCTGGGGAATTGCTGAATGATACTCTGAAGTGGAGTCCTACAAATGACAGACTCCATTTTCTTCCTTGATTGAATCTGATTCTTAACTCTGTGTCTAATGGTTATTACCTAATTTCCATATTACGAAGTTTTATGCAGTTCTTCTGATGATACTTTCGGTGTGACGTCTCGCTGCTCTTCAGTCTATCATCTGTTAAAAATTCCGCTTTCGCCGCTGTAAGCGCGCTCACATCTGCTCATCGTGCGCCCCACGGCGAGACCGTGTTTGGGTGTGGATGCATTCCTTTCCCTAGCAGCACCGCCACGAGTGTTCCCCAGCCTCGTTTCGTTCTTTGAAATACGGTTTGCAGAAGATGTGAGTTACACGCTCCTAGCAGGCTCTTCCCCTCCGCTGTGTCTCTTGGAAGGCATCTTTTCTGTTTTCTCGGAGGTTGAAAAGTTGTGGTGAGTGCTCGTTTGGGAAGTACTTGACCGGATTTTCTCTGGTGCTGTGCTTTAGAAAGAAGCACGTTGCAGATTTGTTGGATGATTGTTTAAAAGAGCAGCAGCACAACCAGAGGAACCCAGCAAAATCCGTACTTTTGAGTAAATCGTAGCTTTGTTTTCACTGCAGCCTCTGAGTAGGGCAGTTTCATGTGGCAGTTTTTTGTTTAAAGGATCAGTGCTTCACAGCAGAGAAGATGCGTGTTGGGGTAAGAGTTTAAACTGTGGAGCGCGTTCCTGATCTTCGAATGAAACCTTACAGGATTTCTACCACGGCCTCAAAATGAGAATACCCAGGCTACTGAAGCAGTGAAGACACAGAGTTTCTCGAGTTTGAGCTCTCGGACCGGTGGGAGCCGTCGTGCCTGAGCAAGCTTGGGAGAAGCATCTGCAGGCCTCAGCCACATGAAGCTCCCTCTTTATTTCATCTCTTGCCTCGTAGAGAAAGGATTTGTGGCTCGAAACTTTTGCAGCGACTGTAAAGATTTTATTAAGGGGAGAGGAAGAAAAAATTGCTTTATAAAAAAAAAAAAAGCCTCTCCTCATTTCTGCATTTGAAGTGAAGGCTGACATTGATTTCAGAACAGTTTGATAATTCAGTGAAGGAATACATCCTCATGGACTTGCCATTAAGAATGGAGAGGTTTTGGGGACATTGCCCAGGTGGGAATAGTTCAGAAAAGGGCTTAATCGCTCGGCAAAGTCAAGTTGAAGTTTCAGCCATGGTGGCCTGAGGGTAAGGGCTCATCCAGAGAGAGCGGAGAGCTGGAGGAGGGGGAGGCCTTGGGGATGGAGGGAAGCCCGGCATGGGGTGAGAGGGCAGATTGGCGGAGGGACCGCTTCCCTCTTGTCTTCTTGTGGTAAGGGGTTGTGAAAGAATCTCTCAGAAGCACTTGGAAGTGGTTTCTTCCTGTCTTGAGTAGTACCGTAACCCTTCCCCGTCATCCCTAAGCCTTTCATAAACGTCTACCATGGCGACATGAAGGTGCTGAGACCGAAGAGAGAGGGCTGCGTCTGTAATGCAGCCGTGTGCAAAGGAGGATGGGCAGCAGCCTTCGAGGGTGTGTGCTGGGCAGGGGTAAAGAGAGAGGCAAACCCGGGGATGGGAAGCTCCCCGGAAAGGAGGATGGGCAGCAGCCTTCGAGGGTGTGTGCTGGGCAGGGGTAAAGAGAGAGGCAAACCCGGGGATGGGAAGCTCCCCGGAAAGGAGGATGGGCAGCAGCCTTTGAGGGTGTGTGCTGGGCAGGGGTAAAGAGAGAGGCAAACCCGGGGATGGGAAGCTCCCCGGAAAGGAGGATGGGCAGCAGCCTTTGAGGGTGTGTGCTGGGCAGGGGTAAAGAGAGAGGCAAACCCGGGGATGGGAAGCTCCCCGGAAAGGAGGATGGGCAGCAGCCTTCGAGGGTGTGTGCTGGGCAGGGGTAAAGAGAGAGGCAAACCCGGGGATGGGAAGCTCCCCGGAAAGGAGGATGGGCAGCAGCCTTCGAGGGTGTGTGCTGGGCAGGGGTAAAGAGAGAGGCAAACCCGGGGATGGGAAGCTCCCCGGAAAGGAGGATGGGCAGCAGCCTTCCAGGGTGTGTGCTGGGCAGGGGTAAAGAGAGAGGCAAACCCGGGGATGGGAAGCTCCCCGGAAAGGAGGATGGGCAGCAGCCTTCCAGGGTGTGTGCTGGGCAGGGGTAAAGAGAGAGGCAAACCCGGGGATGGGAAGCTCCCCGGAAAGGAGGATGGGCAGCAGCCTTCGAGGGTGTGTGCTGGGCAGGGGTAAAGAGAGAGGCAAACCCGGGGATGGGAAGCTCCCCGGAAAGGAGGATGGGCAGCAGCCTTCCAGGGTGTGTGCTGGGCAGGGGTAAAGAGAGAGGCAAACCCGGGGATGGGAAGCTCCCCGGAAAGGAGGATGGGCAGCAGCCTTCGAGGGGGTGTGCTGGGCAGGGGTAAAGAGAGAGGCAAACCCGGGGATGGGAAGCTCCCCGGAAAGGAGGATGGGCAGCAGCCTTCCAGGGTGTGTGCTGGGCAGGGGTAAAGAGAGAGGCAAACCCGGGGATGGGAAGCTCCCCGGGGAATCTAGCCTTTGGGACAGAAATTGTACGACTTCCCACAGAATCGGAGATGGTGATCGGAGCCACTTAATTCGGAATTAAAGAAAAAGGTGAGAGGAGGAGGAACGTGCATTTTTAGTCCTGGCAGGCTAGATGATTTCAACCACGTTTCCCACTGGGTAAGATTTCTTGTTTTAAAGCCAACAAACAAAGCAAAAAGCCGGGGGTGAAAAAAGGAAAGAAGATGTGATTTAAAAGCATAGAGCTGCTGTCTACAAAATGAGGCTTCCTGGGCCAGAGTGATACTGGGACTTAGCTAGTGGCCAGCACTAAAGCCACGGTCGCTCTGAATGTATTTCCTCATGCAGGAGAAACCATCCCAAAGCTACTTGTAGTCTGAGCGCCTCCTGTGTTAAAACACACTCTGAATGAAGAGACTCCCCCCCAGCCCCCAAACAGGCTTTGTGTGAGCAACATGGCTGTTTATTCACCCGGGTGCAGGTGGGCTGAGTCGGAAAAGGAGTCATCGGAGGGCAGTGGGATAGGAGTTGGTTTATAGGTTTGGGGTTGGCAATGGAAAGTTACAGAAGTTTCAGTTGAGGGTGGTTTTTGCAAGCCGGAAGGGGGTCGGAGGGTCTGGAGTCAGGAGGCTGACCTGTCAGTTGAGCAAGGTCAGTTACAAAGTCCATTTGCGTTATCAGTTGAGGCAGGAATAAGGAACAATAGAAGAATGTCTCAAAGTTAATTAGGCACAGCAGGGGTTGGTCATTCTTCTCCTTTTGAAGTTTTCCAGTTACTTCAGACTTTCTAGTTCCAGGAACTCATGTGAAGATACATGCACAGGTCACAGGTTACCATGCAGTCAGTCTGTCAGCCCAGAAGACCTTACATCATGGAGTGCAGGGGTCTAACCCACTGAGTCAGGAAAGGGAGTCTGAGAAATGCGCATATGGTTTCTGAGACCCAGAATAGTGACACGGGAGGGTAAAGTGGAAGTGACACAGCCCTCAAAATCTTATAATCTAGGTTCCAACCTGGGAGGACCAGGGTCGTTTGAACCTCACTTACAGTGATTCTCTACTGGAGTTCTCCAGAATGCTAGTGAGAAGCAAAACAAAATCTTTTCTGGAGGAAGTTATAACTCAAATTGTAATTTTTTTTAAAAAACCCCAAACACTTTTTAAAAATAAAATGACCTACACACAGTCAAAGGTTATCATACATTCAAGACTTCTTACGTGCAAACAAAAAAGATGGCAGAAACAGGCCCACAAAATGTTGAGCTTTTGTAATTCTTGTGCACATACCATAAAACTAGTCTCCTTACTATATGTATGAAGAAAGAAGAGAAGCTCGAGAATGTCTGCAGGGCATAGGGAACAGTACAATTTTGCATAAGAAATTTGAAAAATGACCAACTAGGACTTCTGGAACCGAAGAATACAATAACCAAAATTAATAATTTAGTGGACAAGTTTAACAGATTAGACAGTGCTGAAGAGGACACTACTGAACTAGAAGATGGATTGGAAGGAAATAGTCATAGTAAAACCTGGAGAGTCCATATAAAAATACAGA